AGAGAGAGAGAGAGAGAGAGAGAGAGAGAGAGAGAGAATGAAGTTCTTGTTCCAATGTCCATGTTGTTCTTGTTTTTGTTTCATGAAGCCCCAAAAAGGAAAACCAAAAGCCAAAGAAGAAGCAAAACCTAAAGCCAAAGTTGAAGAAGCAAAACCTAAAGATAAGAAGGTAGAAGAAGAAAAACCAAAAGAGAAAGAAGAAAGCAAGCCACAATGAAAGAAGAGGCAATGAGATAATGCAACTATATATTATGCTCATACAAGTAATATTGTTCTTCATTTACTTCTAGTTTAAAATATTTATTGTGTGCTATTGCAATCTTTAACTCTTTTGAGAAAAACCTCATCCTAAATGTATTCTTATAAAAAAAATATTTGCACTTTATTCACTATGATGATGAAATGCATACCTAGTAGTCATTATTAACTATATTTGGTTAGATCCATTGACTATATTGTCACACTCCATTCGAATTCTAAAAAATACATAATTCTTAAAAAAATTGGTATACATTCAAAAGAAAATTTTGAAGGATATGAAAAACATAGAGTAGTTAAATTTCTGTGAGTTAATTTCTCAAATATTAATCAAATTTAGAGTTTTTTATCTATATAAAAATAAAAAAATAAAAACTACTTTTTGTCGGTGTGAAGTCACTCAACTTAAAAACTCTTAGAAAATAACTTGAGCTAGAAAAACACGTAAGCAAGCCAAACTACCATGTTTGTACAATTATTTCTTTTATACAAATCAAGGCCATAAAAGGCATGCACTAATATTTAGATAAATTAATTTTATTTAGATCAATTTCAAAATATTTTTTTATTTAAAGATTACTCTACACTAAGTTCTAGTTTATATCTATTTAAAAGGTAATATATTTCCTTAAAAAAGACAGACATCTCGAATATTTTATAACCCATGGATTTTCACAAGAGAGCATGAAGACATCACGTATTGTCTTTCTCAAGAAAATCTCGAATATTCCATAAACTTTGGGGATATTCATAAAGAACATTTCAAGATGTGGGCAATGGTGGAACCACATGTAGAGGGGTATCGACGGATGCCTCTTCATCGGAAAATTACACTGTAGCTAGAGTAAAAAACTTTTTATGTATATAGGAGAATAATCAAAGGATAACTTTTAGGTCATATAGTTTTAAGATGAAATTACAATATGTCTCTCTTTAGTTTGTAATTGTATTAATGCCTTAAAAAGTAACACAAATCAGATACATTAATATGTAGCTCAGATACATTAAAGAGTATCTCGAATACATTATAATATAAATTAAATACATAATATGTAGCTCGAATACATTATAAAATGGACCAGATAAAATAAATCAAATACATAATATGTAATTCAATTACAGTAAATACTGGCTCGAATACATTAAAGAAATAAGAAGTATTAAAGATTTTCAAAAATAAAATGAAATATTAAAAATAATAAAAATATTAGATGTGTTTTTTAGTAGTTTTTCCATGATCATAGTTCCAATGTTGTGAACAACCTTTTCAAATGCCAAACAATTTTGTGGACTATGACAAACAAAAGAATTTGAAAAACTCGAAAGCCTAAATTCCGGTGGGTCTTCTAAAAAAAAATAGGTTGATGTTTCGATAAATTGGTTTTTTCAATATATGGTTCAATAAATTCGTTAAACCTTTAATGTTGATGTTTCGATAAATTATTTTTTTTAATATATGGTTCAATAAATTCGTTAAACCTTTAATATTGTACAATCCTACTCAGTACTCCTTCACTATAATTATCATATTAGTTTCTAGTTTCAACTTCCCTTTTTTTTTATGGACTCTGTCCATTCATGAATCTATCTATTATTATTGTACATCTCTTTCTCTTAGCCTTTGTTCTTAAAAGTAATCTTCTTTAACCACACCCCGGATTTGGTTATTCATAGTTTTTTTCTCAGAACATTTAACCTGACAATGTCCTAGGAATTTACAGGTTAATCCATCGATACTTTTAAGAAGCTAAGAGACTAACCATATACTAAGTAATATAGATTCATGATGATATTCATAAATTTACATGAATTTATCAAATAATTAACATTTTATAAACACACATAATTTACATATATGGGAAGTTTACTAGAAACATAAATATGAAAACTTACATTATTTAGAACAGAGTGAAGTTTCCCTTTCGGAAAACCCGAAAAGCTTCCAAACTTTTACTTAAAACAAACTTTTAGAATAAAGAACTGAAATCTTTATTACAATCTTTTAAAAGATAATTTTAAAGAGAAAAGGGGTTGTTTTGAGGATTTTGAGAGAGTTTTTGTTGTGGTTGTCTTAGACTTTTTCGCCTTCTGCCTTTTCTTGTCTTGATAATGCTTGCTTTTATAGAGATCTTCGGACTTCAAACTTCGGATTTCAAATGGAAAATGAATCTTATCATCTCAGCCGGGTACACATCTGGACCCCATCGTTACGTGAAATAATGTTCCTTTTCTTGCATTATTGTCCTTCTAGTCTGATATCTGTCTGTCAATACTTATCTCTTATTTCTTACCTATACATTATTTTTATTTTTAAAGTAAAGACGCGTCCCAACAGTTTTCCACATGTGTGGTAGTGAGTAAAGTGGGACTCACATTTTTTTTTTGACAAAAGAGGCATTCCTCTTTAAAACTATAATAATAATAGATTTTTTTTAAGTGTCTAAATTATGTAATGCAATTGAATCAAAACTCATACCAGAGTCATCATCATTTGGGTCTTGAGCAAATTGCATTGAGTCTGAAATATTATCTGAATTATTTGGGCTTGAAACAGAATCTTGTCTTGGGCTTGGGTTTATATGTTTATCTTTTTCGTGTTTTGGTTTAAGTAATTTTTCTGCAGTTTGGGTTATAAGGGATTCAATATCTTTATTTTTTTGGAATTTTTTAATTTTTTGTCTAATAGTCTTGTTAAATGAAAGTGGTAACCTTCTTCTAAAAGATGAACCTTCATCTTTTTCACTTTTTGGCAAAGTGACGGCCATCAACGGGTTTGAGAAGTCTTTACCGGCTACCGTTTGAACCGGACTAGCTATATCTTCATCCGATACAGTGGATTTCTTAGCATTCAATGGGGAATGCACACCCATCTCATCCATTTTTATTTGGGATGGAAAACCATGTATATCTGTGCGAGTTTGTACATCTTGTCTAGAATCCCAGACTAAAGATCAGCCTATTTTTTGGTATCAGAGCCTTAGATCTAAAAGACCTTATATGAAAAAAGATTATTATTTTAGAAAAACGTCTGCTTATCATAGAACGTTGTTTTATAATAGACAACATTTAAAAATAGTTAAATTATATAAAAAATCTTTAGAAAGTCATTTACTTACATTAAAATTAAGATTACTTTTAACTTATACATATAAAAATTCTGTAAAGACTCTTAGAGAAACTCTTATACAATCTCAACAACAAATTAGTGGAGAAATAAATCAAGTAGAGTTTGAAATAAAAGAAATAAGAGAAAGAATTAAAATAATTAAAAATAATCCTTATTACTATAATCCGGTAGGATAATATATGAGAAGACCATATAAAAATACTAGAGAATATAAAAAGGTTAAAACAGAATTACAAGACTTATATGTAAAAGCAGATATATTATTAAAAGACCTAAAAATTACAAGCTTTAAAAAAGAAATAACTAATAAATTAGAAATATTAGAACAAAAATTAATAAGACATCATATATCTAGAAATATTTTAATTAAAAGTACTTTATGAGAAATCTTTCATTTGCTGAAAGAATAAGACTTGATTATTGACTATTATATAGAGATATAGAAGAAAAGAAAAGATTACAAAGAATAGAAAAATCTATATATATATATAAATATATACGAAAATGAATTTTTTATACCAAACACTATTTATTTTCAAAGACATATAAATAACGAAGAATATTTAAGTGCTTTAAAATGGGAATTACAAAGAATTAGTGATGTTATACATAATTATAATAAAAGAATAAAAAACTTTTACAAATATAAGTACCCAACTACTTTAGGATTAAATAACAATAGTAACAATAACTTCAATAAAAAACATAGAATACTTAGACTTATAAATAAATACAGAAAAAAGATTTCAAAGATTAAAATCAGACAATCTAATTAAATGTAACTTTGAGAACGGAAATCATTGCTTACATAGAGAAGACGCTCAATATAATACTTTAATAGATTTGATAATCAATCCCAGTGAAAAAAATAAAAGAATCAAACAACAAAATTATAAAAATATTAAGTGAACAGGAAGAAACGCAAAATAAACAAAAACAACTCTTTAGTAAGATAGAAAATAATTTAGATTACCTTAGGGAACAAGGAGTAGATTTAAGTAAAAAATTAAACGAGTTAAAAAATAAATCTAAAGAAGAAGTTAGTAATACATTAATAATAAAAATACAAGAAATAAAGAAAGAATTAGCATCAATAAAAGAAATAGTTCTTTCATGATAGAGCTAGTAGAATCTGAAACCCATAAAGAAGCAATAAAACTAATAGAAAAAAGAATAGCCCTTCCATTAGATTATAAAGAATTTAATCCACCTTCAAAATCAGATCAAATTATTATACAACATAACAATATAATAATAGCACTTTTATTACAACTACATAATAAGATAGATAAAAATTTTAAATCAGAAAGTAAAAATATAGACACGACCGGAATAGAAGAATTAATAGAAAAGTTAAATAAAATAGAAATTACTCCTCAAAAAGAAAAAATAATTAAAAAACAGAAAAAATGGATATTTTTCCAACTGGATCAAGAGAGAAAGCATAAGAAAGACCAAGACCAAGTTACTCCCAGAATATGATAAGCAATAATTTTTTGTCAAGAATATTAAATAGAAAGACAAAGGAAAAAAATAATCAACAATTAGAAGAAATAATAGATACAGATAAAGATATACAAATCTTTCAACAAAATCAATTAAATTTATTAAATCCAAAAGTTTTATATAATACAAACTCAAAATCTCAACTATATAGACATTATAGAGAAGAACAATTATCAGTATTAGGAAAAAACTCTGTATCTCTACCACTCATAAATGCTGAATCTATAAAAGAAATAAAACTTGTTAAAAAAGACTTAATGCATATAGGATTAATAGTTATAGGAATTAAAGGATTAACTAGAAAAAACTTAGGAACAAAGACATTAATTACAATATATGAT